GAGGCACATGCAAGCTTAAAGATTTATGTGTGTTTAATTACTTAATAAGAAATGGAATATGAGTAAATTTAAAAGTGATGAGACCATGGAAAGAATAGAATAGAGGAGAAACAGAACGGTGTGTGTGTGTGTGTGTGTGTGTTGTATTCACATATGAGGAACGTAGGCGTATACGAAGTCGAGAAGCCTACTTTATTGATTTTCTCTGGTTTTATCATAAGGCATATTTAATTACCTTACTAAAATCAAAGAACAAATTTTCAAATAAAATTTTATTCCTATTTAAATGAATATTTTTTAAAATTTATATTATATTTTTATCATAATTAATAAATTTAAATATGATTTGGTAATATTAAAAAAAACGTAATTAATATCTTATTAAATATTTATATTAATTAAGGACAAAAAAATCGTTCAAAAGAGTGTCCAATAATAACAATACAAGGAAATCTATGATATACTCTTTCTGTTTTTAAATTATAAAATTACTTTTAGATAAACTTTACATTACCAATAAATCTCATTAAATACACTTAATAATTTTATCTTTTTAAAATAAAAATATAACTTCTAAAAATATTCATTATTTAATATATTGAAAAGAGAAGAGGGATGAAATTAATTATAGAAAGAGAAAGGGTAATATTAAATTAGTGTATTTAATGAAACTTTAACATATTTAAAATGTCTTATATTTTAAAATAAAATATTTTTTTAAAAAATATTTTATAATTTAAACGGATGGAATATTATATGATGAGATTACAAAGCTTAAAAAGGAATTAATGCATGCAACCCTAATAATCCCAATCAGCTTATAAAAGATATATTCATAGCTACTGAATCATTTCCCCAACCTCCTCGTAATCAGAATCGGTGTTCTCCATAAAACCATAATTACCCTAACCCTATTGTAGCCTCCCTTACATCCACATATTAGCTCCTTCATCTATCCTTTTTCCTTTACCAAAGTGGGGGATTTAAATAATTCATTGAAACTTAAAAAACATGGTTAAACACATTGGAACGCAACTCTCTCTCTCTCTCTATATCTATATATATATATATATATTGCACATTTTTGTCTTCTTATTAGATAGTATAATCCTGCTTTAGATACAATAAAAACAAATGCAGGTCGTTTGGGAATTTAAATTTTAATTTGTTATATTATAGAAATAACTCCTTCCTTTTCCTAAATTCAATTGCCATTGGTATTCTCCCTCTCTAATCTAAAATATAAGTGTTTTCTGTTAGTTAATCTTAATCTAAAATTTAAGCAGCAATTTATTACTATCTCTAGACCAAAATATAGAGTATTAATAACTAATCATCATTTTCAAAAAATGTTAGCTAAAGTCTTAATTTTTTTAAAAGAAGAAATTTACAACCTTTTTATTTTATCCTAATTAAATACACTATATAAGTACCTTAATAATGATAATTAAATTTCAATACATATTTTCTCAAAAGAGTAATAAATGAATTAGGGATATAGTTAAAAAAATAATTATAAAAGTTACTTAATGCCCTATATTTCAAACTAAGTAAACCTCTAGAAGATATCTCATATTGTGGTATGAAGGGAGTATTTGTAAAAAAAAAAAAATCCTATTTTACCTTGTATTTATTAACTAGATTCTTGTGTTTTGTGAATTTATAACTTTTTTTCAGTCATCATAAATTAAAATTAAAGGTAAAAATATATATACTTTCATAAAAATAAATATTTTATTATATGAGATTTTTTGTTAAAAGTTACATATATTTTGAATGAAATAAAGTGTGTGTGTGTAACTCCATAAGGGGCAGTGGGTGTGGTGCATGCTAGCATTAATACGTTATCGTGTGTATCATGATGATGTTTCACTTACAATGACAATGATTCAATGGGAACATGTTTCGACTACTTCTTATGGGAACAACTCATAATGAACTTTACTTAACGATGGCCATCAATTCATTTGATTCATCTCTTGCTCAACCTAGTTTTGATTTATTTCTCCTAATTAGACACCTTTGATTCCGATATAAATGAATATTCGGCTTTTCTTTTGGAAACAATTTAGATGCACGATTAAAAACCTAATGTATTTTCCCCTATCACAATTTGATTGGAAATAAATACTTTAAATATTTAAGTATTTTTCTTCCATTCTTTGTTTTTTTTTATATAAAAGAAATTTAGGAGAATTGAATACTAAGACTTATTAGGATTAGGATATGTCTCTATACTCAAAAAAATATTAAAAAAGTATTACAAGTTATCTGTTAACAAAATTCTCATGGCGACAGTAAAATTTAATCTCACAACATAATAAATTATGTAACAAATTCATATTAACTAGATTAACTTTGTTAATAAAATGTCATCCATGCTTCTACCTTTCTCTCAGCTGGCTTATTGTTTTGCCCACAGTCAAATGATCACTTTGCTTTGAGCCCTAAAAATGGTTTAAGCCCAAGTTTATGAGTCCAACAAACCGATGGGCCGTTTCTCTATACAATAAAAGACCCAAAAACTTGAAATATCCTCATTGACCAATATTTTTGCAAATAGGAGGTCTCTAATTAGTAACAATTTAAAAGTTCAAAGGTGAATTAAGTTTTGAAAACTTATTAGAGGACTAAACAAATCTCAAAGTTGTAAAACCACTTAAAGAGATACTCTCTAGTTAATAAGGTCATCACATTAATAGCAAGCTTTTAGCTTAACTGAAGAATTTGACCTTTTTCATTTTTTAATTTAAGTATTGATATCCTTACTAAAAAAAATTAAATTTGAGCATTTCCAAGCCTAATTGGAGTAGCTTTCCCAATTTTTTTTTTAAAAATTCATTAATAAAACTTAAACTCATTCTTAAGTACTTAAGAAAAATAGAATTCCTTTCTACACGTATTCTCTTATTGGAGATAATTCTATTTGAGCATTATCAAATACTAAATGTGAGCATCTCTCCTAACAAGAATTTAAATAGTTTACCACGTTATGAGAGAGTAACTCTTTTTACTGGAACTAATATCTGTTGGTAAATATATGATATTCATTCTAATTTTGGTAGCACAAAATCAGCCATACTCAGCCCATCAATGACAGCAACAAATAATGCTTAGCACTCATGCTTTGTCTGTTATAATTTTCGTTCTAGATCTTTCTTTAGGGCTACATGTCTCTCTTATTCACACTTGTTTCGCATCATAGTACACTATCAGTATATATATTCACCACTAGAGAAATGTTTATGACAGCTCTTAGTGACTTTATACCTCTTTACTAATTACTCTTAATTAGTCTTCTCTCAAAACGAGTTATAAATGGATGTGCCAAAATTCTTTTGTGGTTTGGTTAGGAAGAGAAGATGCAAAACCAAAAGATTTTGAAAAGTTAGGCGTGATTGATGTTGTTGGACTAAGAAATGGTCCACTTATTTTCCATCCATATGTCATATTCATGCTATTACATACTCTTTCCCTTCGTTTTATATATATAATGAAAAAAATATATTACATAATTTAAGAAAGTTGGTTACCCATAATAATTATATCTGAAAATAAAAAAATTAAACTAAAATGCTCTATGTTAATCAACATAAGTATGCATTAATTATTTCTCGTAATGTAAATTATAAGAGGTGATTTAAAAAATGTATAATAAATGCTTATTGAAATGGGTGATTTTGCTTATATAAAAAAAAAAGTAAAAGTGATAATTTTTTCTACAAATAAAAATAGAGGAGTAGTAGCTAATAATGGAGTCACTAATTCTAGTTTTGATGCCAAAATAGGAAAGAAATTACATATAGTGGATGGATTGTGTGTTTGGTTGAGAGGTAAGGATGAAGAAGTGGCAGACAACCAAAATGAGGTTTCGGTGGGGATAACATTACTATATGTTTCATTCATTGAACCTGAAAAACTTGACCTTTATTTGCAAGGAACATTAATGGAGTTTGTGATCTCCTGTGCTCAAACCTACCGGTATCAGCACTTTATGCTATCATTATCTCTCAAGAAGAGCATTACAAATATAAAATTATAAGATTTTGGACTGTCTAGATTTCATTTGGATGGTTCAGATGGGATGTGTTCGGCCAAATCTAGATTATTTACGAATTTACAATATCAATACTTAATTTGTGATTCCCTCTTAGTCTATTTTGTTATGTAAGACCCTATTAACCGCTTTCATGAGATCAAAGAAATTAGTTGAAGTTAGTTAAATATTAAAAACTGTTAGCACTTTTCAAAACAACCCTTGATTGGTATCATTCATTAGGGAGAGATGATGAAAAAATCACTATGGATAGGGTTTTATAAATAGTAGCGGAAGGTATTACATTACAAAAATCATTATCATGAAAACTCTTGAGCTAGTTTATAGCTGCAAATTCTGATTTATCTATCAGAGCTGGCTCTGTCAAGACGTAGAGTGAGTGAGGGAGCTTCAAAGTTCAGGTGAGATTTTCAGAGATGAGAGAGCAGGAGAAGATGGAAGCACCATTAACATACATGTTCTACTACTACGTGTGCATCATCATCATCGCGATGTGTAGCAGCACTAAGCTTGTGGAAGCCATCGAATCTCAAATTACACAGTGGCAATCTCTGGATCAGACTTCGAGATCAGACTTTACAGTGAATCCTCATGGCTCTCAGCTCCTGTACAAGGAACTTCTTTCACCCAGTCCACCAAAATTGGTTTTCACAGGTTTTTTTTTCCTTCTCTTTTCCAGTGAGTAATTTGTTGTATGTATAGTTGGTCATGCTCCAGAGGAAAGGTTATATAGGATTAGTGTTCCCTTTCAAATGCCAGAATACAGAAGATAGCAAAACATGCAAATTACAAATTAGTGAGAAATTTGTTTGCTACTAATTAATCTTATGAAGGAAATTGATCAGCGCACGTATTATCTATCGTGGGGTGATTTAGACGACTAAGGCAAAATAAGACCAGGATTATCTAGGGTAGAAGGGCATTGAGGGGATATAATGAAGGATTGATTTAAACAAAAAGGTACGTCCATGCCAAGTTACTTGCTAGAAAGGATCGTAGCTCTTTAGGTGTTTGAAAATAGTAAGCTTACCACCAGAGATTTGATTCAACTGATGAAGAAATTGTATCAGTTTAATCAAAAATCCCAAGTTTGAACTTGAGAATGTAGTAGTGTTGGTGATAGAGTTTCTGCTAGAAAGGATCTTTGTCCCAGCTCAATTCAGATTAGTTTGGGCTCTTGTCATGTCCTCTCAACTTGTGGAACAAGCTCAAGATACTGGAAGCTTCACCCAAAAAAGTAAACTTTAAAAATAAAGTGGTTAAATAAACCTAGTCATTATAAGTAGTCAAGATCATGCAAAGTTTGAGTGGGTGCTCACCAATTAAAACAAAAATAAGTTGTGGGAGGAGGGTACATGAGATAATGATCGAAGTTGTTAAATTAAAACAGTGCTTGACGTTGGTATATAAGTTGTATCTTTTGCAGATTACTGTGATCTTAATGTAGTTTTTTTTATAGTATAACATTATATTCATGTTTACCTCCCACGCACGCTCCCAGGTTGTATCAATACATGCATGGCGGTAATCTGGATTCTTCTAGACTGGCTTTTACTGCTCCCGTGTTAACAAGCATCACCACATCAGCATCATCACCACGTGGGAACGACTATGTAGTAATGTCGTACATGTCGGAGAAGTATCATTGGAAACCTCCAGAGCCGAATCCTGAACTGAATTTGCAGGTGGAAAAGTGGAGAGCTCATTGCATAGCAGTGAGAAAGTTCAGTGGGTTTGCCCGAGACGATAATATTAATATAGAATTTGAAGCTCTTATAAGTAGCCTAAGTGGGAGAGCAGTGACTATACAAGACAGAGGTAAGTTAGCCATTGCCCAGTACAATAATTCTCGTCACGTTTCTGGGCGCTTAAATGAAGTGTGGATCAATGTGTCAGGACACTTAGTCCAGGGTTGTCCACCTTAGGGTCTTTGTTCATGTGTAAATCAAGGGTAAACAATATTCTTAAGATATCAAGGGGTATAAATAATTTTCTACGTTTGCATAAGAAAACATCTTTAGGAAACCAATTTTCAATTGGGCCCAACTTGAATTTGATTAAATTAAATAACCATATAAAACAAAATGTCTGGTGAATTAGTGATGACAAAATGCCTGAACATTCCAAACTCTGATGGATGATTCATTTAGTGGCTCAAACCAATCTTACGCTGTCCGCTTATTGGCTGCTGTGATTAGACTTTAAATGACGAATCCACACCCAATTATTACCTTCTACATGAAATTGCAAGGGGAAATTGACCTTCATTCACCAGTTGAACCTGTGTTACTTGCTAGGGCCTAGAGTGATTATAATTGAAAACCACAGCACTGCATGTACCGTTCTTTGCTACAAGGGACCACGTACTGTTACTCTCACGTTGAGCTTAACTTACCATGTACAAGGATCTGAGACAAATACAAGCAAGAAAGTACGAAACAACAAATTTCACAAAACCCTCAACTTTAGAAGCACACAAGTTTGATCTTAAAACTTGTGTTGGAAAAGGTAATGACAGCTATAAATTTCACAATAAATGCAGTCAATTGTATGCCTCTCAGGCGCGTTAAACCTGAATTTCCTTTAATTAGGAAGAAAAAATGTTCAAATAAAGAAAATAATCTGTTCAAATTACAATTATTAAACGTGTAACTAATTTTATTCTACCCCTATATTGAATGTTTAAACCAAATTCGGTAATAAGCAGGGTCGCAGATTGCTAACTCCACTCATGGTTGGGTAAGTGACATGGGTATATACAGAGGCTTACATCTGTGGTCGGGTCTGGACAACAAAAACATTTCCATCCCTGATGACACCTTCAATGTCTTGAGGAGAACCGTACAATTCTTCAATTTCGCTTCCTGCTCGTGCAATGCTAGAGAGGATCTTCTGGCGAAAGCCAGCGTCAATTACGAGGGGATCGGATGAGTAATCAATCACAACTTCCTCTTCTTCATCCATTGGCACACTGTGTGGGAAGAAAAATTCATTTAGCTAATATCCTAAGCTGAAAATTAACACAGAAAGTCTCATGACAAAGGAAATCTATAATTATAACGAGTAAAAGCAAGATAAATGTTTCTACCCACCCACCACACACACACACACACACACACACACACAACAGGCAAGATAAATGTGCCAAATTTTCACTTGATCGTGCCAGGTCACTGGCCTTCATTAGTGTTCTCTACAACCCCACATCGTGCCTAGTCACTGGCCTTCACTAATGTTTTATGCAACCCACCCACTCGTGCGCGCCCAAGAGGGTGGTCGATACAATCTTTACCACGGACCAAAAAGCACATGGCCAACCAAGAACCAAGGTGCTTTCACTTAAGCAAGGTCAAAGGTTTAAACTTTGTAGATAGAAAAAAATCACATTTGAAAAGATACAATTGGACCGAACTTTAATCTGAACTAATAATAGCGGATATCAAATAATTGTGCGGAGAGAAAAATAACCAAGACGCTTCTAAATGTTGCTGTGAAAAACCTATCAAACTGTGAAACCGACTCCGTTGTTTTGTTTGAAATACAACAAGCTTTATTTCACTATGTGAAGTTGGCTACATCACATGAGCAGAAATTTTAAGATGTATGTCATTCTCAAGAGTTTAATCCCACATGTGAATTTTTTAGCACACAAAATATGTAAACCTGCGTAGTTTCATATCTAACATATTAGGAATCTGAATTCTACAATTTTTATCTTGATTCTACTCCATTTCATCCTGCTTTAGCCTTTTCAACTCAAGCAAATGAAGACCCCAAAATTTCTGTTTGTTCTTTGAAAGACGTTCATTTTAGAAATATGAAAAATTTACCTGTCATAAAGGCCAGCACCAGCATAACCCTCTAGATCTTCACCATTGGAGTCAGATCGGAAAATAATTGACCGTCTTATAAAGAGGCCAATAGGTTTACTAGGATAACCCAACACCTAAAGAAGTTCAAAATATTAGCAACGATGGCATGTCCATGGAACATATACAGGTAAAGGTCGTCTCATAAACCTACTATCATAATGCATACAGTTATACATACTAAATAACACCATACAAAGATATTTGGAAGCTTAACCAAGAACTAGCCAGTATGTAAGCACATCTTACAAGTATAATTAACAAAATGTATCATGATTACCTGAGGGGAGTTCAGATCATGCTTTTTACAGATAAAACTCAAAGCTCGACCAGGATATGCTCCAACCAAAGTTTCTCCAAGTCCTCTCACAACCTAGGTCAAAAGAGTATCAGGTTCAATGTCTTTGCTTCCTTGCACTCTTTTCAAAAGATGAACACAAGGCATCTTTTTATCATATACCTCAGCATATATCTCCGATGAGTCCCCTGAAGATGGGTTAGTTGTGTGGATGACGAAAGCATAGTCAGCATTAATAACTTCCTGAACAAGGACAGCCATGGCAAGATATTCGTGGTCTAGTTTTACTTTTCTTGTGCTGAAGTATGCTCTCTCATTCCACTTTGAACCCCAAACCTTTTGTGAATCCAACAACATGTCATGTCATTAAAGATGAGATAAATATGGAAATATTCATGATCAACAGAAAAAGTATACAAAAGTACCACAAAGATGAAACTGCAATTTTAAGCAAGTTACATCAACCATCCATCTTCAAAAGTTTGCAAGGTATGTCTGATTTGGTCAGCCATTACCAGCATTTTCTTGCGTGATGAATGACACAGAATGAAGTCTGAAAATAAAGAGCGAACAAGGAAGGCCCAGACGTAGAGGAGGTATGGGAGAGATGGCTAAAACAGGACAGATCATTGTATGGAATATAGTAGCCACCAGCCAGGGAAAATCAGTTCTTTGCTAGTGTCGGAGCTAATAATAAATTGTTCAACAAAAATATATGTATATAACTGAATAATTTCGCAGAAATAAAAATCAATTAAAATAAGCGTAAGTGATGCAAAGAATACATAAAAAGCATGAGATGATCTATCTCATAGATTTCCTTGGGGAATTTTGTTATTGTAAAACAGAAAGTATCTAGAATGATGACAAGTGCAGTAAAGCATGGCCTAATTAATACAAGAGCAGAAAACACTCTCCTTTTGATCAAGCTGTCACCTTTCACAAACCAAGTATCAAAATCTAATATATGCATTGTGTTTAATAGACTTATACAGGTATGAGTCTTACTTTTTTTATAGCCTTCCATGCTTGTTCCCATCGTTGTACACCTTCATCACCAGGCCAAGGCATTCCAGAGCTTTTCATCTTAGTTTTCAGCTCCTCTACCTGAAAATAAGACATTAACTTCCATCAAAGTTCCTCCTTTCTTTTGAGAGACGATGGGGAATATTTGGGGCGGGAACACCACTATAAAAATATAGGGCCTATTTGTTTAAGCTTTTTTAAGGAAAAAATCACTTTCTTTTCGAAGAAAATCACTTTTGATAAATTTTACAATGTTTAAGTTTTTAAAAATAATCAAAATTTGAAAAAAAAAAAAGTTTTCTAATTATTTTAAAAAACTTACTTTGAGTAGCTTCCAAAAATAATCAAATGTAGTATCTATGAGGTAGAATGTTAAATTGTTCATAAAGTTATGGAGATAAAGATATTATAAAATTTGAAAATCACTAATAAATCATTTTTATGAACAAAGATATATGGAGATATCACAAAATCTGAAAATCATAAATAATATATCCATGATAATCATATAAGAGGTTAAGTTGGTGTGGCCTATATTGAGGAGAAATTGGTAGGTGGTTTAAAATGGTTTGGTCATACACAAAGAAGATCAATGAAGATGCCGGTAAGGAAGGGTAAGCATATAATCTTTAGCTCTATAGAGAGAGGTAGAGGGAGATCAAGAAGGGCACTCAAGAAAGTAATCAACCAAGATCTTCTAGTTAATGATTTATTTGAAGAGTTGGTTTCAGATGGAACTCAATAGTATTGTGTGATCTATCTAACCAAGTCCACTTTGTGGGATAAGAGTTATTGATGATGGTAGCCAAATACAAAATAATTTCTTTTATATAAAATCTCCATGCAATAAATCACTTTTCATAAAATCTCTAACTATTTAATAATCACTTATTTTTAAACTTAAACAAATGGAACCATAATTCTATCAAGGTACAATGAAATTTCATTTGAATGCTACTAATAATAACATACCAACTGGGGTGGTGCTTCCAGCTGCAAAACTGTTTTGCGAATCTCTCCAAGGGTACTGGAGTCTCCCTCAGCCAATGACATCTTCAGAAATTTAACCCTTTCGGCTACTTCCTAATAGATAACATTCAGTTAAAAATCCATTATATTACATAGAAGACTCACAAAATTCCAACTGTAACAACTTGAAAAAACGTGAAAATGTGTAATAATGAATAGCACATACGCATTTGAATTATCATACATGTTTAATACAAAAGACACATAAGTTTTCCATCTGAGAAAAGAAAGCCTCTGCCAGAACTATATTTCAATAATGATTATGCCCGGAAACAACATAGATTGAACAAAAGTTTAATTCGGAAGTGCCTTTGGATAATTGCAGAAAGAGATTTTCCCCCCAAATTCTATCACAATAGTTGGATGTAGTACCCTAAAGTTCAGCTTTTATACCAATGACAATGTAACCCATGGAATTGTCTACAAGTCAGAAACTTAACCTAGACTAATTTGTATGTCAAATAAATGATTCAACATACTGAATCAAATCCCAACAAGTGTGCATGCGAGCTGGTAAATCATTATATCATCCTCATGATGAACGAGAAAATGTTACTAGTTGAGGCACTAAAATCAAAGAAAGATAACCACAGAATATGAACTTGATATCTCATTGTCCACACATTATGAAACTAGGAAAATGGAAATGTGATGTAGGACCTGATTTTCTTTATCAGCAAGAACATATTCAAATACTCCAAATGGTATGGCAACTGAGGTGGGAATTCCGATCCAGGTAGGCACTTTTCCTTTTAAATAAGCAATATTACGTGATTTAGCTCCAACCTGGAAAAACAGAATTTCTGAGAAAGTTATGGTGCAGTAACAGAGTAAAAGAGAATGCACGAACACATCTGGTACTTCCCAAAATCAATAGTTAAAATGAGAGAGAATGAATGCAACTCCATAAATAGTCGTTACTTTTTTAAAATCTAACCATTTCACTTGTAAACTCCTCAGATGATATGGCATATCTTCCACTAAATTGCTTTCTGACCAAACTTAATGTTGGCACAGAACCATCTTCTTGCAGTTGAGTTGATTTGGCATCAACTAGTTCACCCTCCTCTACCACACTAAAACAGTTTTCCAAACAAATGAAGAAAAACAGTAGAAAAAGAGAAATAAACAAAATTCATCAATTCAGACCACAGAGCAGGTGGTTAAATGACTGTTTTACTATACAAGTCATTTCATCCCACCTATTTGGATGCAAATATAACCATTTGGATATTTTTAAGAACATAAAGATGTTACCTGTAAACTACATCAGCAGATGTCGGTTTTAGATGCAATAGCTTTCCCTTATTGGCTTGAAGATTGGCCAGGACATTGGGATCAAAACATGTAGCAAAACAGACCTGGAAAGCATGAACACTGAAAGTCAGTATTAGCAATGTCAATGAACATGAAAGCATAATTAGCTTTAAAACAATTTCATCTTATGCTTCAAAAAGCAGGAAACCTTATTATATCCCTTGAGCTCCAGCAGTCTTTGATCAAAATGTAATTATATTTTATAAGTAACTTCACCTCAATCATATCAGATTATAATATCTCATCAACTGGATGTATAATCTATGATAATCAAGTCCCACGTCCTGTGAAAATGCATCGATTATTGTGAAGATATAGTTCTATAATTTCATTAAGACCTGGTAGCCCATAAAGTAAGCCAGTTTGCAGCTCAGGCACCAAATATTTCATTGTTAAAGTGTTGCTAGGCAGTAGTGTGACCTCATTCTGATCACAGATCAAATTAAAAAGGGATAATAACATTAAAGTCTGAAAACAATGAATTTATAACAGTTAGGTCCTGACAAAATTTTCTAAAAAACCAACTGTAAATACTGATTCAAGGAATTATAAATTCAGAAGTTATAATTAAAAAAAGAAATTTAAATTCTAAATATGACTCTCAGTTTATAATTGGAATTTCTGTTTGTAACTGTTTGAATTAGTATTCGCAACTTATTTTTTTAGAAAATTTTGTTAAGGACCTACCTGTCAAAACTTCCCTATTATTGGATTTTATTGTCATTCTTCCCAATTAAAAAACAGGTAACCAAAAAAAAAAAAAAAGGTCTACCATTCAACAGTAGTATCCATAATATGTGTGACAAAAGAGCCATTTAAAAATATTGATGCAACCTCAGGATATGCTCAGGCATATAAGAGAAGATTAAGGAAAGGGCAGAGGGTAGAAAAGAACTATCCAACAGGTTAGAATTATTATCCGATGGGTCCAGCAAATGAGAATTAAGTCATGATGGGTTGAAGTATGGCTGTAGATTCAGTTTCACATGTTAGGATCATCTTTTAGTTTCCTCTATTTTTGGCTGTGATTTTGTTAGCACTCAGCAATATCTTTTTGAGTCAGATAGACATGAGGAGAGTGCTGGTCTCTCGAACACCAGTGAGGGACTTTGTTATTGCTGTTGTGTAATTTCTCGTATCTGTATTTTCAGTCTTAGGGAATAGGGTTTTCGGCCAGAATCAGTGAGTTTTCTTTTTGTAACACTGATTCGGTACTCATGCATTAATATCAATACTTGAGAATTTCCCTTATTCATCTATCTTGCATTTAAGATTCTGTTAGAATATTTATTACAGAGCACAGCTCTATCAAATACCTTACTGTTTCTTGCTCGTACAGAAACATGAGATAGGACATCAGGCATGTCAGGGGTCAGGACAGCAACAGCGCCATCTGGAATTTCCTCTTCTCCTTTCACACTCTTTGCAATCAAAATAGTGGGTTGGCCATATGATTTGTTCTGAACAGCAAGCAACTCATCCACAACCTCAACATATCCAACTGTTTCGACAGGGCTAATAACCTGCCAACTGTTCCAAGTGTGCCAGAGTTGGGTAAGATGGTTATCACTACAACTGAATAATGCTATGACAGTATACACCATGATAAATAACAGAAAATTCTTATTAAAGTTCAACAAACGTGATCAGTTAACCTTCCAAGATTAGCTGTCTTTCGGAGGACTGGATCCAGTCTACTAAGAAGAGAGGACAACGAAGCTGCAGATCCAGCACGGATAATTTCTTCAGTGAATATCTCTACCTACAAGAGGAAATTTTCAGAAGTCTGAAACAAGGTAGTAAGCTATAGAAGAATGAGTAAATGTCAGAGAAAGGACATACAGCCCATCTCTCCACCCCAAGCAGAGATCCAAGGTACTCTGCTGATGGTTGCAGAATTTGCTGGTACCACTCTGCCTTTTTTGTGAGCGCAAGACGTGTCCTATCAAGGACTGATTTTGCATACAGTGCCCAATGTGTGTCTTTATTCTTAAGCATGCTTAAGGCGAGATTCCAACCCTTGAAGAGCAAAAATCAAAATATAAAAGTGGTGTAAATTTTTCATTAGTTACACAGGCTATGATGTATACATTTAGCATAAACACATCAGCTTTTATGAATTTCTAGTATTGTCTTGAGTTTCGCATAACCAGTATTGAAATGCTTAGTTTGCATAAAGCAAAATCAAATTAATGCATGTTGAGTCTAATCATTAATAGCTGTTGATGAGAGAACAACCCACACTATTTTAAAGCAATATAAACTATGTAATAGACCAAGAGACTATATATTTTTTTACACTCAATAATTATAAAGAGTAAATACAAAGGGCATGAAACAAACTCATGAAATCATTCCAGTTATATTTCTTTGTATAAACATATAGATAACTACAATTCCACACTTCACTAATAGGTGAAATCCTTTTCAGTAGATGTATCACAAACATAAGCTTTATAGACCAGATTCTGCATCTAAAAAGGTGACAGAACTGATGGGCAAGAAATTTCTATGGCCAAAGATTCAACAAAAATATATACCTTCAAGCAGTAGATTAGATCTTCATTGTCATCTGATGAAAGTGCCAGATTTTCAAGAACCATAGAGATGAAGTAGATGATTTTCTGCATGAAAATGAATCAGCTGATTATTTTAAATTATAATAAACAAACTTTGATTTATGTAATCAATTAAATAAACTGAGCATAGTTTGATCATAATGATAGCCTTGGGACAAGCATTACCTCTGGTCCAGCATTATCTAATTGTTCATATCCCCTTTCCACTGCTGTCCTAACAGTAGAATCAAGGGAAATATCCAAAAATAAAAGATCTCTCAGACGATCATGGTGCTTATGCAGTAGTGGTCGAACCTCTTGCCTAGCTTCTAGCAAACCCTATTGTAAAAGCATGGGGAAAAAGGCATTATAACATAAGGACATATGAGCAAATAAAAAGGGCTATTAACTGTATTGCAGATGCACAAACCTCAAGAAGCGGTTCTACGTCCTTAACTTCAATGTGATCCTGAACAAATACAAGCAACTCCTGCTTGCAAGAAACATCAAACAACTTAGTCCAACATTCAGAAGATATTATATCATCATAAAGAGCTTCAAATAAAGCTAAATAGCATTACTGGAAAGCCAGATGGCAAGCCAGACACTGCATTTATCTGCACTCCAACCATGAAACCTTGACCCTGCAGAAAAATTGAATATGTTAAAAAATATTAAGACCTATATTCTTAGTACAAAATGATGCCCTCAAAGACATAACTCAGTTACATTTGTTACCTCTGTTCTGTAGCCCATACAGTTTGAAATAGCAGACTCAAGATCTGCACCTGAATGAACTGCCTGCAGATGATATAATTTGTTACATGACAGTATTATTGATTAGGTGACCTAAGTGACTCAAGGTTAGGCAACACAGGACCGGAAAAAAGTTTCTTTGAGTAATACCAAGGGAATGGCAGATGCATAACAGATCCAAATAGAGTTTAGCAGTTACTGGGGCCTATAAAATTAAAAGTAGAATTGCACTGCTCCCTCTTCTAATTTTTGGCAACAGCAATTTTTATGCAATACTAATTGAGATGCAATTACTTTCCTTTAGAATCAGAAATATCCAAACAAACATATTACATAGGGATACTGTTATGTGTAAATGAAAAGTAGAAGAGAAATAGTTGAAGTTGCTGCTTGGTTCTGTTCTGCTTGGTATGAATTTATGATAGTTGGCTAGTTAGCATTCTAACATACAATGCTTGTAATCTGATTTGGAGGGAGTCATGTTAGTTTATGAGATTTCCTCATGCACTCTATTCTCTCTTCATCCACCTGCCTTCTGTTTTCTACTATCAAGTGGTATCAAAGCTGATGAACGGTGACTCTAAAAGGATATCAGCTTTCTGAAAGTGGCTTATTGATAATTACCAGTGTAGTACAGGATGCCTAAGCTGTACATCAAATAGTATGGCTGCTTAAAAGGGCACTTAAATAGGAGTGGTTTTCTTGCCTCGATAGATCTCTTAAGTGAAGGTTCCCCACCTTGCTCAGATGCCTATCACTATATGCTCCAACATTTTATTTTTCATTCCCCCCTCTCAATACGAGAGACATTTATCAACAAAAACCATGACAAAATACAAAATTATTAACAAGCCAAGGCATTTTAAACAGAGAACAGTTATAGGATAGAAAACAGAACAAGACAACAAAGATATATCTGTCCAACCTTCAAGGTCCTCATGTAGTTACCAAGATCACGCAAAAGACCTTCCTTTTGATCTCTCCGGAAATTTGGTTCGGAATGGATGGCACGGTCATAGCTAAGAAGGCGTTCTTTTGTTATCCCATTGTCATTCAAAGTTTTCCAGTAAACACCAATATCAAGGTCACTATCTATATAATCAATCAGTGCCTGGACAGATTTACCAAAAAAATCAAATATGAAATATGAAGCTTATGAGGCAAGACGTAAAGAAGTCCAGGAAAATTCTCAAATTACCTGGCAGATTATAACATCATCAGGACTAGTATTGTTGTGCAACTTCTGATGCCATTCCTCCATCATTCCACCCTTGCAATCATTCTTCCTCTGCAAACGATTTAGCATTTTTCTGTGAAATCTTGTATTCAAGCATTTGAAAGGGAAAGAAATATGAAAAGCTACACAGTAAGGAGAGAAGCAAATAACAAAACAAATCATACCCACCTGGATGACAAGGATCTCATCCCGAATTCGCTGTCCTACATCACCTTCACCTCCCCGACCAACAGTAGACATGATCATCCTTACAAGTTCCCTATAGCCTGGATAACTTATATATACATTCTGGAGCAAGTCTGTGAGTCTATCCTGTGCTTTACTTATCTCACTGTTCCAATTAATACTTATTATTAATATTGGTGATCAGAGAATGCTCTAGCATGGACAGAGAGGCATGATCATAAAGCATAGCAGCAAATAAATTAGCTTGTTCATGCAGATGATAAATTATGTCAAACATATAGCAGAAGATAAAATTATGGCAGATTCATGCTGAAGCTTTTTATGAAACAAGGGATAAAACATCTTATTTGGCAAGAAGCTCATTAATGAAGCAAACATTAAAGTTCATAGAGCATTTACCGTGGCTTCACATTATAATTTTTGTTCCATATGAGCTGTCTTGTGGCCATGAATCTCATCCACACCAATATACCTGCAAGGCCCATTTGGCCAGCATCTTTGGCTTGATCCATCAAATCTGCTGCAATGTTAAATCTGAGGGAAAAAATTATGAGTAATCAATCCAGAACCAACAAAGTATGATCATTAAAAACATTTTGGTTAGTAGATGAAATCAATAGTGATGCTTCATAAGATTTATATATATATATATATATATAAGGTCCTTTAAGATATAGATGAAGCTTAAATTTCTAACTTCCATGGAAAAACACACTTGTGATAATTTATTCAGAGCTGGCAATACAGATCCAAAGAAAAGACAATGATGATTTCAGTATTTTTTGAATGGCAGTCTTTGGAAAAAATTACACATGCTAAGCATTTGACAAGGAATGTACAATAGGGTCAGTCAACGAACGAAATTCCCTCTATAGTCCATGTGAGCAAATGGATGTTGGCATCTATGACATAAAGAATGTTCAGGTTTAAGAAAATATTTGTGGGGGAAAACTTCTCTTTACAGCACTAAGCTTTCCCAACAAAAAAAAAAAAAAACTGTTGACACCAGATGGACTTGAATTATTTTCAAATCTCCATTGAAGCTACATTGTGCTGCTGCTGCTGCTCAATTTTAAAGTAGAAAATGAGCTAATTTTCATATTGGACTTTGTCAATATAGAAGATTGATATCCTAAAGGAGACATCTAACATGCCAGCAAAATTACAGAAACCCTAAACCCTGAACGAAGTCTGGCATAAATAGACAATTCATGACATGCTCAAGAGGTTTAAATGGCGCAACAAAAGCAGATAATTGAAATTTTAGCATCATTATCTCTGTCAACTTACATAAGCATCTGTAACTGGGGAAAAATTAGATGGAAAAGAATGGATCAATCAAGGCAACTATTAAATTTAAAAATTTAATAGAGAGAAGTGCTGTTTGAAAACATGTATGCAGTATATATAGTCAACTCATTATTAGGATATTATTAAGGGCAGAATACTGATTATTAGACTGCCATAATGATAGGGATTAGAAGATGACTATAGGAAATTAATTCTCTGATTATTTGCCTTGTTTACATCCTGGTCTTCAGCCCTGATAGTGTATATATCTTGTAGCACGCTGGTACTAAAATTCTCAGAAATAAAATTCACTCTGTTTCCATCATATAAACCACAAGTTCAATAGCACTTTATGATATATAACATTAGGTATTGGCATTGATGTTACATATAAATTGTAGTTCTCAAGAGTTTACTGACCTATGCATAAAGGACTTCTGTGCCTCGTGCTCCATTTCAGCTATTTTATCCAACAAAAACTTGGCTGTACCTTGGCCATCAGCATTAACCTTCCAAAGGAACAGATATTGTTATTGGATTGAGTAAGTGAAACAAACAAATGCAGATTGATTAAAAGGATTGCTATTAAAATGTGAGACAACCTTTGGTATCAGCTTCTTTCCTTTATCAAATTCTATATAAAAATCTGACCCGTTGTTCTTAATCCATTTTTCACCAGACAGAAGGACAAAAGGCATTCCTTTAAAAGTATCATCTTCAACTTCTAGGTCTACGGTCTGGACCTGAAAAATTATTCAACACTATTTAGGCTTTTGACTGTCGAACTCAAGACTATAAACAACAAAAACCAAAGATTAATTTTGTAAGACACCTGATAAGAAGAATCAGATGGACTCATTTTAAACTGTGTTTCAGCAGCCTCATGAACAACAACAGAACCAGGGGGCAGAGCACTTGGAGGGGGTACCTGAGTTTGCCATTAGGTTTATGTGACTAACATACCCATAGAAGTATTGAAGGAAACATTTATTTAAACGTCAAATATCATCCTGTATGTATTACTAATATCATATTTATACACTCACCGACCACTGTCCTTGTGTTGTTTTGGATAGGGCCCAATGAAGAGTAATAGGCTTTTCAAAATTCGTAGCCAGATGAACCTTAGTCTTGTCAGCATCCTTTGTAACAAGGACCTTAAGGATGCAAAAGATTAATTAGAATAGACAGTCAAGTAAACTTAAAAGAAGAAAAAGATGAGAGCAGAAAATATCAACTGAGATTTTATTTTCCTCACCAGAAGATCATTACCACCAAGCTTGTAGATTTTCTTATTCAAAACAAGACCTTTATCCTGTTCCTCTCTTTCCTTGGCATAGCGTTCAAGTACTGTCAGTGTTGAGGCTTTTGGTGAAGCTATATCTTGTAGGTTTACATCTCTGGCCACATGTTTGTTAATAAGCTGCATCAAATCTCTCCTTTTGCGCTGGATTCTTTCAACACTAAAATATTTTTTGCTTCGCAATTGCTTAGCAACCTTAGTTTGTATCTCTCCTTTGGTAATCTTCTTTCGTATCTCATCAATGGAGCTACCTTTCTCAAGCTCAGCTAGCAATTCTTTCTTTGCTTCATCAAATTCCCTCTTTTATGGGGGGAAAAGTCAATAAAGCAATAACAGCACCACAGCAGACATAATTACAAAAAGAATCAAAACAAGTGATCTAATTCTGTCCATTTAGGTAACACTGAACAGAAATCAAAGCACATTAATTAAATTACCAATTGTTGATCTGGAGAGTAGTTAGGTTTTCCTGCCTTTTCCCAGCGTATATAGGCTTGTATTTGTACAAGTTCATCAGGGATTGTCGTAATTTGAGAAACAGATGGCTCCTTCGCTTCAGTAGAACTAGTTTTATTTGTTAACCTTGCACGGAGGTCTTGTACAGAAACACCCCTGGCTACTTCCTCCAACAATTCCTCTCGGGCTGCTTCATATTCCTCCTGCACAAATGACGGGGAAAATCATATATAGGTCTCACTGAATGGAAAAATCTTGCTTCATAGAGAAGACAATAGCTCTGTCTAAGTCTGCAAACTACAAGATGAGAGTATTTTGATGAAAGCTATTTCCCAGATCATTTTAAACCATCTACATGCAATATGTGCACACTGCAGGCTGTTTTCATAAGCCTGATAGCTAATACCCAATGCAGGAATGTGATTATCGCATTTCTACAAAAGATCTGGCATATGATATTTTCTAGCATTAACAGAGTTAAAAACAATAAAGAATATTTATTCCTCTTCTTATGAGAATACAACAGAAAGAGCAAAAAGCAGGGGAAACAGTAATACTGAACAAAAAATTGGAGAACCTTAGGACAGCCAAACAAAAGAAAACAGGTTTCAGACCTATAATAAAAAAGTCTAAAGCATCTGAAATATCAAAAACAGAATTCATATTTGACAGACAGTAGAGAAGAATAAAGCGTGGCTTTAATGGGAGATTCCATGTGACTAAGACCAATTTGAGATAAACTTTTTGGCATGAATATGCAAGGACTTGGACCCAAAATATATTCAAAATATCAAATTCGATAAAATTCCCATGATAAAGGAGAAAAGTAATGTATCAATGAAGTCTGACGGGGGAAATAAATGCAAAAAATTGAGGATCACTCAAACAAAAAAAAAAATTGTAAGATGAAGCAAATAGAATACAAAACAAATTGAAAATTCAAGGCCAAATGGAACACACGGGCATCTATTGATCACTGACCTTCTCTTGCTCTGAATTATACACCTGCTTACCCCTTCGTTCCCACCTAAGGTATGCTTGAATCTGTACAAGGTCTTCAGGAACTGAAATTTCATGAACTGGCCTATCTTTCACAGGTGGCCTCTCTTTCACAAGTAACTTGATAAGAAAGTTTTCACCATTGTTTTTGAACCTGTAATTAGTGTCAAAACATATACTTTTCGCTAAATTCCCCACATAAGCATGAATACAAAGGGAGAAAAACAACATGAATAACAACTCACCACTTATTCTTAGCTTCATCAAATATAAGAAACTCAATAGCTTGTGCAGCGGGATCATCAATTTCTATTTTAAGAATGAATCCTGAGCCAGACTAACAAGAAGAACAGAAAAGAAAATTCTGAGCCAGACTAATAAAAAAAAAATAAAAAGAAACAAAGAGTATACTGACAATTTATTTATTTGATTAGAACAAGCAAGTAATCTATCAATAATTTCAGGATTTGTTTTCGTTTTGCAATTCTCATTTGAAACTTACTTTTACAAAAGGAGTTCTAAGAGCCTTGTTTTTATACACTGTTGTTCCATCTGGTCGCCGAGAAGGAAGTACCCATTTCCTGAAAACAGAAACAAGATATAAGGGAGGAAATTTTCTTTACATTGAAGGAAGATTAAATTAATAATTAACTCCTAAAATGCTTGAGGAAAATAGAAATACTTAGAAAAATTAATGTTGTACATACGCATGCCTATCACGAATAACTCCCCAGTGCAAAATCAGAGAGTCACTATTGTATGAAACCTGAATTTCTACTCTTGTAATAGATCCTGGGGCTACAGAATCAACACCTACCTGGACAACATTGTATACCACCATCCATTAGTTCACACTTCATAGATAAATACTTCATTATATAAGTGCCTAAAAGCCATTCAATGTTTTGGACCAGCTGCGTACCTGCAATTCTATATCCCCATTAAGGTTGTATTTCCCTGAAAGCTGCTCCACAGCCAAATGCAGTTAATACAACAATGAGTTAGGTTAGGTTGAATAACTTGCACAAAAATCCAAAGGCACATGTTTTTATTTACTAATATAAAATACAATCAAGAGAGGAAATTATAGTGTACGGTCCATAGTTCATATCATGAAACAAATGATTGAATTGTGGCTAGCAAGTATCTGAACTTGAAAAAAGTGTATGTGTGCGCTAAATGCTTGGGTATAAGAATCTGAAACCTGGAGGAGGTGATTGTCATTTTTTAAGACTTAGCCTTGGTGCCCTATAAGGGTCAAATGTATTCGATTTGGGCTACATGTTGCTCGATACTAATGCCAGAATAAATTTAAAAATCTAGTAAGGAATTCACAGGTCCAAGAAAATGCATGGGGTTTCTACCTCTAATTCCATTTTTGTATTTTACATGGCGAGCATGACCTCACATGCTAAAGCATTTACATTGATTTAAAAATGTCACCTCTTTATACGACGCCACAGAACAGGATCAGGAAATTTTATTTGGACATCTTGTAACATAAACAGAATTGTACTGGTAGTAACCAGTTGCTTAACGAAATGAAATTTAATACTCTAAAACAAACCCTGATCAACGTTTGTTAAATCGTGGTTGAAGTTTACCTCTGAAGCGTGATCTGTGGTTAACACAGCATGTGGAATACCTGCAACTCGTCCGAGCCTTCCCATGGCTAATTTTCGTTTCCTCACACACAACTTGTTCCCACAAAATTTGGAAGAAAGTAGGAAGTTCTGTGTTTGTGCTGACCCTTGGTTGATACTCACAGCTTTGAATAGAGAGCTTGCAGGTGTGCCAGAAGAATTAACCTTACTTTGATATTCAGCAAACGATGGACAAAGCGAAGTCTGGTGGAAGATAGTTCCGCCGACGGTATTACTCATAATGGTGAATCTAGTCCGCGTTCCTTTCAACAATAAAAATTAATAAATAAATATAGTTTGTATCAGAAGATGAATTCAAAACACTATATTCACATTTGGGAATCTGGTCAGAAAATGCTCAAAATCATTATCAGCTTATATCAGCTTTATTCCCCACCAAATTCATACTGGTCCGAACATCAAATCACAAATCAATCCAAACTTCCAAAATCAAAAATATAATTTTATTTTCTTCAGTCATTTCCATGCATTCAACTGAATTATGATTAACAAAATAAAATAAAATACAATATACGCACTCCTCTTGAAATTCATCTCCAGTTTCAATAAAACTCGAGAAAATCGAAAATGCGCAGAATGAGAAAACTCAAGCGACTCATTTGTACTGCAATAGAAACAATCAAACTGAACTAACGAATTTGCAAGGAAAAACAAACCTGAAATCGGGGAAATTACTTCCAGTAGGAGCTCCAGATGAGAAGCGACCGATCAAAATCACGGATAGGATGAGAATGAAACAGGAGGAGGAAAGCTAGTGGGAAGTGAAGAAGAGATCGGAGAGCTTCAGTGTAACAGTGCTCGGTGCAAAAAGATCGTGTTGCTTCAACCGCACTGCGTAAGAGATACAACGTTGGAAACGCAGCCTTTTATCAAAGAGGTCGGTTGCGTGGCGGCGTTTGATTTGGCCGCGTCTCAAGGAGGCTTGGGTCTGTGAATAGAAGCTTGCTTGCTCGTGGGATATTCATTGGCGCGAGAGATGTGGACATTTTGAAGACAAACCCGTGGGTCCACGAGAACGGCGATTCTTTAGTTGATACTTCCTCATGATATTTAATGGCTTTCTTCCTAAATCTCCCTTCCTTTTGAGTTTATTTCAACTTTGCCCTTCGTAATATTTAATGAATTAATTAATAACTTAATCACATCATCCAAAAGGACAGCAAAGCATCGCCAGATCAATGTTAACACACACGTGTCTGGATGCATGCATGCATGCATGCCCGAAATCTTATTATTTTTGAATAAAAAAATAATATTTTCCTTCCATATAAAAATATAAAATATTTTTAATTTTTTAAAATATAATTATTATTTTTAAAAATATTTTATTAAATAAATTATTTTATATTTATTTTAAAATGAAACATACTATTAAATGAAGGTAAATATGAAAAAAATATAATTAATTTAAAAATAAATAATTACTTTATTAAAAGATGAAATTCAGTTAAAAATGCCTTATATATTTTAAATGAGAGAGTAACTAATATGTAATTGTTATTATTTCTACTAAACAATAGTGTGGTTATATGGTAACTTAAATTTGCCTCGTGTAATTTTTTTTTCTTAAATGGCAAGACGAACATCAATTATTCTAAATTTTCATTTTATTTATGAAATTTAAAAATTGATAATGAATTGTTGAATCAATCAAACAATTATTAGGTGATTGTTTCAAAGTTAATAGCACATGAATAGTAACAGATCTGATAAATACATTCAATAAATTACTTTTAATATATTTAAATCAAATAAAAAACATTAAAACTCATCAACTCTTAATAAAATTTTAATAAGTTTTCAATTATTAAGACTCTTATAGCTCAGTGGCATGGACACTTCTCCTTTGATAAGGAGGTTAGTTTATTCAATCTCCAAGTATAGAAAAATTATGGTGGCTTTTAGTCTTTTTATTCAATACAATTTAATTCTTATAATTTTTTAAATTAAAAAATTATAAAAATTGAATTTTTATGACTTAAAAACTATAAGTGTATGTTTAATATTTAAAAAAATATTTTTTAAAAAGAAAATGGAGCTTGTATCTAGGAAAAAAAATTAAAATAGATACATTTTTTGGTTTCTTTATAAAAAGAACAGTGCATAGAAATTGAATTCTTCCAAGTCAAGAAAGCGTAGAAACTAAATTGTTTCCATCAAAGTTTAGGGATAAAATTGATTATTAGAAGAAAAAAATCATTCATCAAAAATTACATTTTTTTTAAATTTAACAATGACTTATAAATAAAATAAAAAATTATTTCCAAACTTACTTCAATAAGACTAGATGGAGTATAAGCCGTCTGTTTTATCTATTCGTATTAGTTTTTAAAAATATTTATTTTATTGATTATTTTACTTTTTTATGTAATCACCCGCTTATAACCTTTGAATTGATTATTAATCATAGTAGATCACTGTTAAAACTCAAAAACATCATTCTAAATCATACTCCCTTCGTTTAAAAATATAAATTAATTTTTAAAAAGTTTAATATTCAAGAATATAAAATATTTTTAATCTTTTAAAATATAATTATTACTTTTTTTAAAATATTCATATTGATAATGACTTTTTATATTGTAAAATATTTAATAAAGATAAATATAAAAATATATAATTAATTTAATAATAAATAATTAATTTATTGAAAAATGAGATTTAACTAAAAATATTTTATATTTTTAGATGGGAGGGGTAAGAAATACTTATGTAATGTAATGAACATAAGTCAGCAATCTAGCATATACACGTGCAGTCCATATGTCCACAATTTAGTGGAGGAAAATATGACAAGATATTTAGAATTCTTTTTCAGCTGAAATGAAGATATTTATTATATAGAAATCAGCAATTCATTCATGGATGTATACTGGAGAGCTGTTAAATGCCATTTTTGTAAATTTCACTAGTCTAGCGGCTACTTTAGTGAATCCATCAATCGCTTTTGCCTAGATACAATCAATCCCGGATCCAAGTGGCATTCATGGATATCATATTTAATAATTACATGATAAATTTATTTTATGTGATTTTCACATGGAGCGGAAGGTTCTAATTATCTTCTGAGAGTCGGCAAAAAGGGGAAAAAAACAGAGAAAAAATAATAACAAAATTTTTTTAAATTATTTAAATAATAAATTAATCTCATAAAATGATATAATTTTTTTAAAATTCCAAATAATTTTTTATCATTAGGAAATTATAACAAATAATATTTTTGTTCTTTATTCAAATTAAAAAAATTCGTACATTTTATTCACACCTTTTATTCACATATTAATAATTTTTGTTTTTAAATTTATAATAATTTAATAACTATTTGCAAATTCTAATATACAAGTCCTGATATACATTAAGTGTTGAAAATTTATAACTTTTCATTCATAACTTTTGTTCTTATATTAACAACTTTTATTTTTAAATTCGCAATAATTTAATAGTCATTCATAATTCCACATCTGCAAGTTCTTATATACATTAAGTATTGAAAATTTACAACTTTCTATTCACAATTTTTGTTCCTATACTAACAGCTTTTGTTTTTAAATTCGCAACAATTTAATAGTTATCCACAATTCTGCATATGCAAGTTCTGATATGCATCATACGTTGAAAATTTACAACTTTTCATTTAAATCTTTTGTTCCTATATTAACAACTTTTGTCCCTAGATTCGCAATAATATAACAAAAAATTATAATTTATCAGTATCCTCTATAAATCGACTAAATCAGCAAAAATAAATCACCACTCTAATCTAAGAAATAATAATTTTTTATTAATTTAAATGACAAAAAAACCTTAAAATGTGATAACTACATAAAATTTTGTTGTCAGTTACATGACCTATAACTTACATCAAAATACCAAACAATCCTTTTGACAAAAATATATGAAGAAGTTGAATCTTCTAATGTCATCCCAACATGTCAACCATATCTCATGCCAACTTGAAATAATAAAATAGCTATTTATCAACATATCTATTTTCCAAATACTAAAATCATATTTTTTATGTTTGATCCAACAACAATTATTACTCTTATATTCACAACTTTGTATTGATTATTCACAACTTTGGTTTATACATTTACAATACAACTGAAAATAATATATTATTTTTTTATTTATCATTTATTCATGAGTAAGCATCCATACTTACGTGTAGCAGAAAAAATAAAGATCTCAATCATTTAAACATATTAATCCACATTAACTTCAACTATCACATATGGGAGGAGAAATTTTTAAGGAGAAAAAGAAACTTACCTACATACGACACAGCTAACTGAGAAACCCATATACAGAAACTCAAAAAGAAATAAAACAAATGAGAAGGAGAAGAAGATGGAGAAGGAGAAAGAGACGGAAGAAAGCACAGAGAGAAGAGAAGAGGAGGAGAATAAGAAGACGAAGTAGAGGCAACAGCACACAAGAATGACTCTGTATTGAAGCTTGAGATTTTTGTTTTATTTGAGGACAATTTGACCTTTTCTTTCAATTTCCTAATAATAAAAAAATCACATAGAACTGCAAGGGAATTATGCTATTTTGTGAGGCCAATATATTATTTATATAATTTAAATAAATTTTTTTGTTATTTTTTCAAAAACAAAAGAAAAACTATTTTCTGATCCTTTTCAATGCGTTATTTTTCATATTTCATAAAATATACCTATTTTTTTTCCTGAACTATTTGCAAGATTCGCCACGTTTCTTGTTCTTATCTATGTATTTTGGCTAACCGTCTTTATTTGGGACTTTTATTTATGTAGAAATAAAACACGAAATTGAGGAGAATATTAACGACAAAAAATTGTCAATTCAATGTAAATGATGCTTTACATGATTGGTGATTATATGCTTTTTTTGTTTACATCGTAAGAAGCACTCATTTCATTTACAAGGCATATTTTAAATAATTTATTTAATCTCATTTATAAATCATGTCACAGTTTTATAATAATATTTAAAAAATATTTTTAAAATTATTCTTTATAAAAAAAATAACATAATATTATTTTTTAAATTTATTAAATAAGGATATATTTAAAATTTTACACACTTTTATTTCTTATATCTTTTTTACATTGGTATTGATAAAATTAGTAGAAATAACTTATAAAAAAGATAAAAAAAAGTACAATACAATACTATAAGATGACATTTGTTACTGACCCAAATAACAAATAGTGAAATAATGACATTTAAATTTTTGTATTAAAGAGTATAAAATATGTTTAAAAATATTTAGTGAATGACATTTGTTACTCATATTTAGTGTTTGATTATGCCTCAAATATAATTACTTTCAATCAAAGAATATTTGTGAACAATAAAAAAATAACTCAAATTTTCTTAAACAGATTTGAAAGCTTCAATCTTGCAAATTAAAAGATCATATCCTGAATGTCAAATAATTATATTAAAAACAGTTTCATGTCAAATTAAAGGGAGTTAGGTCTGATTACAGAGATTAGTCCCTCATAGGCATAGTGAACCATTATTCAAATCTCTATTTAAAAACATACTTATATATTTATTGTAATTATGTCAAATAAAATTCTCTATAATAAAGAACGCCCGATCAATAAAAAACAGTTATATGTCATCTTAGTGGTGTTGATAATTGGAGGAGATAATAGGGGCAAGGACAAGGGAAGGTAAGGTTGAAAATGTAAGTTGATAGGAAAGAACCAAAACACACAATGGGTGGCTATGCACAAGAATTATGCAGGCTAATAAAGTCACCTCCTTCTTTCCCCGTTTTTGCCGGCCATAGATAATGCCATTTAGGGTCGCCATAGATATTATATCGATCACGTCTGGTCTACATTATTCACTATTATGGATAATGTGAGCTTGCTTACCATTATTGGACTTGTGAGGTCTTTCACTTAATCATGACTCGAAGATACTTTATTCGGTTTCATTTATAAAT